GATGGAAATGGCGTTAGGTAGGTGGGCGCGGAGCTAGGTAGGCATTATGGTGGTCGTTGGGAGGCGTCGCCGAACCGAACGCTGAATCACCCAGCGAGAGTTTTCCTGTCAGCGGCAGTGCGGCCGCCGCCATCCGACGAAGCCCCGTGGAATTGCCTCGCACGGCCACGAAATGAATGCGCGAACGCCCATTAGGGGAATAAATCAGGGCCAACGTTATCCGCAGCGTCGCATAATCGATCTCGCGCGCGCGAACGGCCGCCGCTAATCCGGGCCTAATCGTTCGTTCGCCGCTCGGCCGAGGAAAAGTTCCTCCTAACGATGCTCGTTAGACCAACGGCATGGGAACTTTGACGCGCAGTCCGTTCCTCCGGTCTAATCTACGATCCCGAGCGATCTTGAGGCTGTGGGAGCTGGCTAGCGCTTCCGACGATCCTAGATCTCTATCGGTAGTATTGGTATCCTGCGTCTTCCAGGCGCTTCGAAGTGCAATCTGGTAATCTAGTAAGAATCTAGCAATATTTTCAATCATTTGTTACTCGCTCGACTCGACTCGAAGCGTGGCGCGAGCAATTCAATCGCTCGATGACCCCGATAACCTGTTAAAAAGAAGTACATCAATTCGAACGAGCGACGTCGATCAGAATCACCGCGCGTAAAGCTCAGGGAAAAAGGGACCGAACGTTCTTATTAAATTAAGTGGCGTCATAAATTCCCTGGGCCAGATGGCACGGAATACAGCCGGGCTAATCCACGGTCTCCGATAATACCCTAAACTGTCGGTAATCTTTTAAGTGGTTTCCGCAAACAGCCGGTATATTAATAGTCGACTGCGGCCAGACATTAACGGGCGCATTAAATAGATATCCAGCTTTAATTCGTGAAATCGATCCTCCTTTCCGGCCCCCCCTCTCCTCCATCGTTCGCCGGGATGGCTTTACGTCGGCCGCGCGCGGCAGGGATAAATTCGAGGGTGCGGCGAGTCGCGAAAATGTTTGGTTAGCATTCGGCTTATTGGCCGGCGAATGTTCCTGCTCTGTTAGGCATGTATGGATGGCCCCCAGGTTATAATAAAGCTAATTCTGCGGTGCTCTTGAGGCAGCTCGTGCCGCAACATGTTTCGCCTCTCGTCCCGCCCCGTCCTCCGCCGTCGTTCCCTCTGTCGACTCTTCCTTTCGCCGTTTCACCGATATCCAACCCTCTCCCGACTCTTCGCCTCCCGACTGCGCGCTCCGTCCTCCCCTGCCTCCGTTCTCCCGCGCTGGAACAACCGAATATATTTATACACCCCCACCGGAGGGTAGCACACGTCCGTTTATTAAAACGTTTCCATCCCGAACAACGCTCGCGTTTCGTCCATTGTGCCGGGAAAAGAGGCAGCACGTGCGCGCTTCTCGAGGACCCCGCGTGTTGCCCGAAAGCGCGGATCAACGGCGGCTTGATCTAATTAGATGAGAAAAGAACCGACAACGTTCCCGCTCGCGAATAACAACGGGATCCCCGCTAAAGGTTTCTCGCGGTTCGTTTGAGCTCGAGCACCGTTCCGCGATTCTTCTCTCTTTTTCTGTTTGTTCGAGGGTAAGATAATAGAGGGGTGGAAGTTTGACGGCAGGAATCACCCGGGAACTTTTCGGAGACGGTGTCGCGGAGAAAGTTTTAAGTGCGTGTCCGGATTCTTCGAAGTTTGCGACCTCTTGCTCGCACGGGCTGCTCCCGTAGTCGACCGGTTTTCTGCATACTTGTTCGGCCTCGCGCTCGTGCATTAGCGGATTGAAAATCGCTGGGTAGGAATGGGGAGGGATATCAAACGATTCTGAACTCGGGCTGACCCTGAGCGTAACGGTTGTACGTGTAACGACGACGAGCAAAAAGAAATTAGTCCGGAGATAATATCTGAGGGGCGTGCACGCGCAGCGTGAAGTCCCGATGCTCGGCGAAATTCATGGAACGACCTGTACAGCTCTGACAGGCGCCGTGTTACGATCGATTAAACGAACAGTTCGGCCCGGGGAGGGTTTAACGACGCCGTTGCATTAATTAATTCCCGGTGATCTCAATTAAAATATTAATTACGACGAAACAATGACCCGCTGACGGGATCAGGCGCTGAGGATCCGAGGCGCGTCTTCTCTGTTTCCTCTTCCCTCCGAGCCCGATCGAATCGGAGGAGCCGTCGTTGCGATGCTATTACGATTACCCTCCTCCTGGAAGCTTATCTGATAACCGCACCATTATGGTCCCCACCGGCCTCAGCGTTTCTGACTGCGCGCGTCCGTCCGATCGTTCACGGGCTCGTTGCGCCGTCCGAAACAGGATCGGACCATTTGCATATTTCTCGGCCGAGCCACGGGGAAACAAGTGTCGCCCGTCTTGAAGTCGTTTAAACATCAACGGGGCCCGCCGGTGACACGAGAATTTTAATGTTTCGCTCTCGAGACGGTTAACGAATGTTACTCTTATCGGGATTTGTGGACACCGTGTTTACGACTCCGCGGGACACTTCTTTTTGCGCGTGGGATCGATCGAGGCGATCGTGGAAACGTTAACTGACCGATAGAGAAATTCATTTCTCGTGAATCGCTGGCCCGTTCGTTGCCAATCACGAATATACTCGTGCTTACGGAAGTGTACAGGATTTCCAATACGAGAATCATGAATCGAACATGCAAATGGAACCGCATATTTTATGCTACCACGCGAACGCGTTCGGATAAGATTTGTCATTGTTACGAAATAATAAAGTATTATCGTACAGAAATTTCTCGTGGCAGTAAACGTGCTAGAAAAGAACGATTCAGTTGATTCCAATGTCGACTGTACGGTTTGTCTTAGCCATTGTACCTACAGCTTCGATCGCAGTAGGCAAAATTAATCCTCAATACAGCGGTCATCGGTCCCCATTTTCCAGTCACTGGTCGCGCAAAAAGGTGGCCGAACATCCGTCTTCGTCCCGGTCGGGCAAAATAGAGCAAAGCCGAGCGATTCTGTTTGCGGTCCGTTCGCGGCGGTTATTGTTCAGCCGGTCGGGCAATAACAACCGCTTATTGAAAGTACGATTGTCGAATCACTGATGGCGGATAACGCGCCGTAGACGCACGTAATAAAGACTATCCTCGTGTCCGTGTGTATCGACGCGTCCGAGCGAGGAGCACGGACGTCTCTCGCTGCGAGAGAGTGGCCGTAGCACACGAAAGCTGGGAACGTACCTCGCTGCACCACCTGACGCGACGGGGGGTCAGCGGTTCTCATACCGAGCGCAGCTCGTCGAACGATGGGGATGGAAAATAGGGTAGACCGAGGCGAGTCGGATCGTTTCCCGTGTGACTGTATTAAGACGAAAATACGCGAAGCTTAATAATTCGGAATGAGAAAGGATTCTTAAATCTTCTTCTTGCAAATGAAAAAACTAAAACTCTGTAGAATGCAGCATAACGAATGTGGATCGAATTTGATTTTGATTCGATTCGTTTCGATCTACGCTGTATATGGAAACAGTCTCGAGAGGATTCGCGACCATGTGGACGATTTTTGAAATTGATAATCAAGCTCGAGTCTAAGTCGCCGGGATCGCCCTGGCCGGAGTCATGATTTCACTTAAGGACACGCGAGGTGGTGTCGATCGATAGAGATATATCGGGGCCAGCTAATGATGACTCGGCCGAATTCGATGCGAGCGACCTGCCCCCTGCGCCTCGTTCCGAGTAATTTACGAGGAGTCACGATTGATTCGGGTACGAGTGTCGATGTGAGCACCTCGAACGGACGATGCAGCCGTGACGAGTGAAAATACAAACAGTTTAACAGGGATGAGTAGTCGTTTAACGTTCTTGGGATCAGCCGCTCCTCACCACCCCCACCCTCTCTGCGTCTCTGTCTCTTTCTCCTCTTTCCTTTTTCCTTCTTCTCCTCGTCTTCCTACTGCATCGCGCGAAATGAGCTACGGTCTGCGAGCAGTGCTGCCGGAAACGGAGCGAACGGCGCCCTGTATCGAGAGTTACGAGCGTTGGTTTCGTTGGTCAAATTGTTCCGTACAGCGAGGAATTGATTTCGATGCTGAGCGCTATGTTCTTTTCGAAACTTCGAAGAAATCACGGCTGCAGTTAGATTTCGCAATAAACGTACCAAAATCATCATCTGGCAAAGAAATTTCACTCGCTTCCGCTAGCATTGTAATTCCTCATCATCCTGAAAACAATGTAAAACATCTGTTCCGCGTGTACGGAGCGTGTACCCAACTCGATCGTTGTTCGAATCGCGAAGCAACGATCGAGACAAAGTTCGGCCAATCGAGAGACCGTTGGACTCTGCGGCGGTCGGATGGGGGTTGCGTAAGTTGGTCCGGCCCTCCCGGAGTGTTGCGTCAGGGAATCAATTATTGGATCCGTATATCAATCCGATGACCGAGGCGCGTTCGTGGTTGTTACGCGCTTCCAACGCATACATAGTGTGACACAGCTCCCCTATCGAAACCAACTCGTCATCCCCGATAATATTCGGATCTTGACCCTGGCGTCGTATCGCCCCCGATGGACCCCCCGGGCCAACCTTCCACTTGTAAAACACTATAAGAATGGGTCTCTTGGAATAGGACCCAAAATAGAGTAGTTGCATTCCGCCATGCTAAGAAAAACGTGGCAATTTCTTTCTCCCCTTTTTACGCTAGCCACGGTCCGTACTAGTTCGGAAGTGAAGAGTATAATTCACGAGGAAAATACCGTAACATGGTACGCGGCGTCCCGCTGCTTTTACGCATTTTCTTCTTCCTCCGTGTCCCGCGTGCCAGGGTTCGTGAACCGCGATGCTGAACGTCGAAACGGAGACAGAGAACGAACGGAGCCCGCAGAGTCCAGGGCCATATAGAGCGAACGATCTCGCGCGGACGACCGGTTTCTCTCTCGGTTCGACGAGACGGTCACGGGCGCGCGTCGCGCGTGACGTAGCGCGCCACGTTGATTTTTCGAGGTCCGGCCGAGTGACTGACTTTCTTCTTTTCCCCGCAGGGTGCCGACGAGGATGACAGCGCTTCCGTTGCCTCGGTAAGTTCATCATCGTCATCGTTTCGACCCGAGATTACCAGTCCGCGCGCGCGCCGGCTTCAAATCGGAGATAATTGTTCGCCGTACGCGATGCGCCGTCCGGATAAAGCGGCGCGCGATCGAATATCGAGATCTTAATTAAAATTTTGCCGGATTAATCGTTGCCTCGGATCTGCTACGTGATTCTACGTTCCTCTCGCGCCGGTACGACGGCGAGTCGTGTTGCCGCGAGTAACCCCTGTTAATCGAGGCAATTATTGGTTCGGGGAGCAGCAACTGGACGGGAAGTCGCGCGAGTGGCTGGTCAGGGCTGCGCAGGGGGACTACCAGGCGTTGGCGAAGCTGGCCGGGGAGGAACCTCGTCTCACCGGGCTCAAGGTAAGTCTAATCACGATCTCCTCGTTTTCGTCGATCCGTTTTCTGGCCCTTTGAGCCCGCCGATTTATCTCGCGCGTCTCGATCCGCGAAAAAGGAGCGCGATAAAAATCGCGGCGAGCGGCCCGCGCGGAGCTCGTAAATTTCTTTCGACTTGAAATAATTACCGTTCGAATCCGTGGGCCGGCGCGGCGCGAAAAAAATTGTGGATTCGCGCGCGATTCCCGCTCGCCGCGGCGTTATCGTTCCGCGCGCACACGGCGAACGGATCTCATTGAGTTACGGCCGCGCCGCCTCCGGTGATAATGACAAAGGTGGCGGGCCAGAGGTTCGGAAATATAATTACGGTGTGGCTTACCGTAGGCCCGGGATCAGGCCGTTATTACACGCACGGCGGAACTTAACACCTGCGGCGTTGTAAATTCGCCGTTTTCGCGCGCCACCATTGACAGGTCAATAAATCTAAGAGCCCCCGTGGCAATCAGGCGGCCGGTGTACACCAAACCGCCAATATGTGGAGCGGATCACCAGTTGTCCGATAGCGACCGGTTTAAGGATTATTCACACTATTGATATTCGTTGTTATGCGTGTAAAGGCCCGCCGACGACACGGAACCGCCCCCGTACAGCTTTCCCGCCTCGCTCGAATCAATTAGTCCTCCAAATTCTGGCTTACGGGCCTCTCTTTACCGCCCTCTTACACGAGCGAACATTTTTACACTGGATATCGTAGGATTTAACGCTTGGAACCCAGCCAGCCCCTCTACCCAGCTATTAAAGGGTAAATACATTAACCGATATCACGGATTCCAGTTTCGAACATTCGAAAGTTCCCTTCTTAAACTGGGGAAGTCGTTAAAAGTCTAGTATCTCCGAGCAGCTCGAGCTCGCCGGGGTATCAAGTAGCCGAAACTGTCGTTGCATAATCATCGCCACATCGGGCGGATGGGCAAGGGGGTTGAAAAGTGTTCGCCGCGAACGACAACGCGGTGGTTGTTAGCATGCATCGTTTCCCGACCGAACAGTTTGAACCGGCCTTAACGGCCGTTCGCGGATGCAGAAGGTGGAGAGGAAGGAGCAGGGGGTGGAAAGCGGCCGGGGCAAGGGTGGAGGGATGTAGCACGGTGGCCAGAGAGGCGGCCGGAGAGGCGGCCGGAGAGGTGGCGGTCTGTGAAAGGGGGATGGAGGCGGCTCAACCGCACAGGGGCTGCGTGCTGAATTCATTCCGCTGGACAAGGTTGCCCCACACCCGGCTCCAGGCCACGTCGGCCTCATCCCTTGGGATAAATTGGCCGAACCCGCGTGTTTGCGGATAACATCGCCGCGATATACGCTCGCCTATGGCCGCCGCGCCGGTACCAACGTAACCATACACGGCCCCGTTTTTGCAACGAGACTCGCGCTTCGTGGAAATTGGCAACGAACTTCGCTCCGTTGTCTTTTTCCAGTACGCCCTGCCCTCCCCGCGCGCGGCGCTACCTACACGCGCCGTCTATCACGCGGACCGGTTCCCCGCGTTGCGCTCGCGGCCCGGCTCGCGGGAAAATGTTTTTCCCGGCGGTTCGGTGTTTTATTCCCTGTGCCCCCGGTGCCTCGTAGTCCCTTTATTCTTCTGAAATTTGTTTCTTCCGCGAAACGGCTACCGGCCAGCCTTCCGCGGGATTGATTCGATGCCGCAACGAACAGTTGTGGAATAGTTCACGGTTTTAATTAAACTTTAGCTGCCTCGAACGACAGGACTTTCGAATTTCCGATCGGCGACGAGACGAATGAGGATTTCAAATGTTCAAATCTTTAAATCGCCAGATTTTTTCATTTTATAATTTCCAAACTTTCAACTTGATGCTTCGAAGTGTCAAATGCGACGAATACCTGTTCGGTGAAAGCTTGAGATCGCTGAGGATACGTTGGCCTTCCCGTCGTGCCCGGGATCCCGTCAATCATTTCGGGATTGTTAATACGGGAATTCGGTGTCGTTGATACCGGAGGGTGTAACATCGCTGCCGGTCGAGCCTTCGACACATGGGACATATATATGTGTATATATATATATTAATCCATCGATGAATATGCAACGGTCAGGCCGCGAGAATGCGAGGGCGACGGGGGCGCAGGAGACAAAGTGAAGCAAACGACGGGGCAATGTCGCCGGGAGAGGGGACATGGGAGGTCGGTAGGCATTCCAATTATTCCCCCAGTAATTAAATCAACACGGAAGCTAATCAACGTGACTCCCACACGCCGCACGCTCGCTCCCCCACCCCTTCAACCCCTCCACTTTTCGCTGAATTTTTCCTCCGACAAATAAACCAGCCGATTACCCGACGACCGAACGGAAAATCGTATTTCACGGTCGATCGCGGCGGAGGTAACCACTGAATAATTGAAGCAAATTCATCATATCCTTCGATGGTTCCGGTAAATACGAGCCTCTCGCCGAACAAACCGTAAAACTCCAGACAAACGTACTCTCATTCTCTTTCATAGCAACTCTCTCGTTCTTCCGTGGCAAAGATAAACAGAATTATCTATCAATCATTCGATATCACAACTCTACTATCTATTTTCACTTACGCTATAAAACATTTTCATTCGACACCAGAGTCATCTCGCAAACAGCGATTGTCCCCGAGCAATCCCAAAGCGCCGAACATCGGTAACCACCGTGAACGCGTCAATTAGCGATTTCTGGCACGTTGTTCGGTATTCTTGCAGTTTCGCGTTATTGTTTAGGTGGGCCACGGTCGGCAGTCACGCCGCGTACCTCTCCTTTTCTCGCGGATGGTTTACGAGCCCGTATTAAAGAGTCGTTCACACACGCACACACATACACACACACGTGCACACACTACGTGATCGGTGCTCGAACCTCGTAGACGGCCATTGTATTCGCCGGGTCAGGTGTACATCGTCGCCGGGGTGCCGTGTGCCCATTATACTTTATTAACGGACGCGTCTGGCATCGCGATAGATTCGCCTCTCCGATTCGTGCGTCCTCGGCGTCCTCTCGGAAATGCAGGACGGCTGCGTCGCACCGACGCGGCGCGCTTCTGCCCCGTTCAATCGGGACGCCATTATACTCGGTTCCTCGGAATCGTTGAAATCCCTTTTTCGTTGCAGCCGACAGGTGCATCATGGCCGGCGCTTCTCGTACCGAACACCCTGTCGACGTCGATCGCTTCTCTACAATGCAACACGCACGACTCCTTATCAGCCTCTTAAACCCGGACAAATGCGAGCATTCGTTTCATTCCGACTTCGACGACGACGTAATTACATGCTCGTTTCAGGCTAACTAGATTCCCCGCTGATTGCGGATGTATTAATTTAAGAAACACCGGAGAGTGGCAAATCGGTTTATCTGATTCCCGTTGCGCGGATAGGGGTAGGCTCTTTAACGTTCAGCGTTTCTTATTGCGACTGGCAGGTGTGTCCGTCTCGGACATCCTTCTTCAGGCTGTTATTGATGTTATTCTTCGTGCAATTTATCGCTTGCGCTCGCTTTCTCTTCTATACGCGGCAACGATTCCCGATCCTCTAACCGCAGACGAATAATTATTCCCCTGTTTTCGAACGGAAGAAGACAATCGTTACTCTACGTAGAGTCTCGGAAATTCCGATGGTATTTCACCCGAATATTCTCGATTCTCGTTGCACCGGCAACATCGATTCGGAGCGAAGCCGCGATAGCGCGAGAGGGAACCAGGCAGCAGCAAGATATCAAGAAGGGAAAGCTGTTAGCCGCACGATCGCGGCGTTATATATTGGCCGGTGGCGAGCGCAGCCTCACCGGCTGTCCGTGTATTTATCAGCCCGTATCGGTTGGTTTAATAACGCCAGGCAATCAGGAGGTGTTCCCTCCTACCAACTCCTGCGTTCGCCGTTCCCCGCGCTGCCTCCTGCCCCGTCGATAAATAATAACCATTTGTATCGGATTCTAATTACTCGCTCTAAGCAAACAAATAAAAGGTAAGCCCGAACTGAGAAGGACGGCGAGGGTGAGAGGGCGAGGCGAGGCACCGTGAGGGGCAACCTTAATGTTATGGTGGCTGCGGGCTGATTTAAGGAGTGTGGGACCGCCCACCTCGAAGATGCATCTCCGCGCCGGGCATCGGTCCACCTGTTATGAGTGTTTCAACGCCACCGTGCTGCGTTCTTCTTTTTCCCCCGTGCGTCTATCCCGTGCCCCCCGATGCCTCGCCCAGATAGTCCTCGCTTATCGGAGAAAAATGACGGTGGAATACCGCGCGGTAATTAAATTGCCAGGAATCGCGGCACCGAGCGATTCCCATCGGGCAATTCCCGCGGCTGCAAACGATCGATTTACCCGGCCGGCTAACCTGAGCGGACCGATGGGCATTTGAATCCTCGCCTCGAAGCAACTAGATGTTTCCAAGACTATCAACGAATAGGCGTCGACCCTTTGCACTCGGGAGGCGACTCACGATCGCCGCGTAATTTGGTACAGCGAAATCGGCTTGATATTTACGCCTCGCGTGGTGCACCAGGAAATGTTACTTCTAGTGGAGAACCATCGAGTGCAAAGGGTAAACACCCTTTAACTCTTGACTGTCTTCGAAGAAGACACGTGATACACGCAGTGGTACTAAATTTATGAGACGCAGACCACGTGAAACCTTGACAGAGGGTAGCTTCGCGACTAGTTCCGCCGTAGCTTGAATCGTCGAAATCTAGGAAACCCCGTCGGCTTGAAAACTTGGAATCTTAACCCAGTCTAGTCCCATTTACAACGACACGCGGGTTTCGCTGACACGGCTCTCTCCAAATGACTGACATTCGCGGATATCCGAAACGTTTCAATGCCTCGACAGGCAATTGCTAGGTGAGAGCCGCATCCGCATCGGCACCGTCGCTAACGCGCAAGTTAAACGTCCGCGGGATCGCGGTATATCATCCTAAGCCGGGCAGTAAACACGCGTCGAGGAATTCGTTTCCAGAGGCGACCGGCTCGCGATCTGTTCTCCGCGCGATGACGAGGATGA